AAATAAATATATAAATATATTTATATATAAATAAATATATTTAATTCTTTTATTTATATTCTTTTATTCTCTCATTCATGTTTTGCAGTCAGAAGCAGAAGGAAGGTCTGAGGAGCTGTCACAGAACCAGGGAAACCGAGGAGATGGAACAGAATGCACAGTGAGTGTCCTGGCCTAGATGCAGAATAGAAAGAGAATATTGCGAAAACTCCATGACATGCAAATCCGGGGGAGTTAACGCGTGGGGCACCAGTCTTCATTTTCAGTTGCGGTAACTATATCAAGGTTACGTAAGGTGATAAAATGAGCAGAAACTAGGGGACGACTGGGTGTGTGTGCTACTTCTGAAATATTTTTATAAATCTAATATGCCAAATAAAATTTCAAAAGAAAATTTTAGAGATTCACTGTTTTGCAAACATTGGTAAGAATTTTTGCTTAGTTGCACATTCCTTTTTCCAGTATGGAAATGATTTGGTTACAATGCAAATTAGAATAATGACAGAGAACCCTAAGGTTTTCATGAATCCAGACGTGACTACTTTCTGGGCTTTTTTTTTGGTACCGGGGATCGAACTCGGGTCCTTGAGCTTGCAAGGCAGGTGGCAGAACCACTGAGCTAAATCCCCAGCCTGTAGACATGACTACTCTCACCTTGCAACTGCAAGGCTCTGTAGATTCACACTGAAGGCTGCCCCCTGTGCCCTAATCCCCCACCCCCAGATTTAGCTGAGGACATGGATTCACAGAAGAGGGACTGTATTTCTCAGATTTCCTCGCAGTAGAAAGGGTCTGGATGTGGAATGCAGGTGGGTTTGGGAGAGGTGACTTCCAGCCTGTCCTTAACATGGGGGACACGGCTGTGCTCCCGTCCTGTGGGCTCAGCGGCTGGAGCTCAGGAAACGCCGCTGATTATGCTGTGGAAGCCCCTGCGTCAACACTCGCAGAGGATGGAAGAAAGAGGCAAAAGATCCCTGTGCTCACAGATTACCAAAAACCATCTCAGTCCTAATGTGCCAGTCTCCAGCTTTCCTTTTTTGTAAGAGGAAATGAATTTCTGTTGTGTTACTAGCTTTTTCATGTTCTGTGCCTCACGGCTCAAAGTAACTGCATATAATGAGAAATGCAGTTTATTATTATTTTTCAATGTAAGGTGGTTTGAATATCTATTGTTTATAAAACTTAACATTTTCTGGAAATTGAGACTCTTGTCACATCTGAACCAACTCAGAATATTTTAATCCTGATTTAAAAGCATTTATTTTCTTACTGTTGTCAACATTTAGTTTTATCAACATCCTTCAGCAATATTTTGTTCTAATTCTTGTCCTATTTTACTGTAAACTGGAAATGTATTTTAGCCACTAGAACTACATTCTATGCTTTCCATATCTTCCTTACGCACAGATTAAAACTCAACATTCATGAAGCATGTGTTCCAAAGCATGTCTGCCAATCTCCTCTTAAATTTTCTCATAAATAAAACGCAGATAACATCTTCTGGGATGAAGAGAACAAACCAAAAGAGCCCTCAGTGCAACAAATTAGGTCTGATACTAATTTCTATTCATTGTTCCAGATGTGGTCTTTTTGTCAATATCCTGGGCAGCTTTTTCTTTGCCCAAGGCACAGTTTTATATTAATATCTTGGGCAGATTTTGGAAAGAAACTCCCTAAGTAAATTTCTGTCATTTTATTTCAGGTTTGACTGAAGTTACAGAAAACTGTTATGGCCAGTGTGTTTCCCACTGGCCATTCCCCCAGAGTGCTCCTATCTGTTATAAATTAGAAAGTCCAGGAGGCTGGGAAACTCCCTTTTGCTCTCTGGAGTAGCTGATTGCAGGTAGGTCCATACTTAGGAGTACATTTCAGTGGTTTTCATCCTTCTGTCTGCAGAAGAACATATATGAATGGCCATTCATGCAGGAACCCATAGGCATTACTTCTAGTCCTCTTTCCCTTTTCTCTTGAAAATACATCAGCATGCACTCGAGAATCATGTGCATTACAAGGACCTCCTTCATCCTCCTCAATTCGTTTTATAAGCCATTTACATATTTAGCTATTTTAATTTCTTGTCACTTTCTTCTCACATGACTATGATTTGTAACGATGCATGCAAAAGTTTCTGGTATGTGGTACATCTCTCTCCTTTCTACAAATGAAGGCAACTAATGACTCTCTGATGGGATGGTAGGTGAACTTTGAAAGGTGATCATAAAAAATAGATCCTTAACAGTTTAATCTGATATTCAAACTGTCTAATAAGATTCTCCCAGTCCAGAGCACTATATGGATGCGCAAGGCATAGATCAAGATGGGGTCTTCTTTGCTCCTTTACTCTTATTTTCTTTCAGTATTTATTCAAAAAATAGCCATTGAGAGTTAATACACAGAGGTCTAGGAGCCTGGGAAACCAGTTAAAGCCTTCATTCTAGAAGGGGAGACAAAATTTAGCATATACACAGGGAATAAAGTCCACAGTTACTTAAAATAACCCTAAAGGAGGAAAGAAAAAATATTGTCTTGGACATGGGGTAACTGCACCTGCTTTTTAAAAAATTTCGGTTTGTGGTGAAAAAAGAATATATAAAGTATGATTTGATATAGATGCTTATGATTATTAATGTCAAGTGGAAAATTTTGAGTGATTTATTTTGAAAGGTTTATATTTAGTTAAAAGTGAAAAAGTTAATGGTTAAATTTTTCATATTCTATAACTGTTAAAAATGTCTACAGGAACTTATAAAAACTTTTTCATTGACTTTTATGACCAAATTATTTTACTATGAAGAGAAACAGTCCAACTAAGTGATAACTGAAAGGAGATTTACACATGTGAACTACTTTTCTTAATTTTTCTCCTATGGATCTATTTATCCATTAAAATTTATTTGGCCCATCCTTTTGATTATCTAGTTACTTAAATTTACTTTTAAATACATAAATGTGTGCTTGATCTAATTCTTTAGTGGCATCATTTTAGAATAGCCTGAATTTTTACAACATTTATTCTTAAGAATAGAGGTTTCTTAAGGATTGATCATAAAAATGGGATCAAAAGAAAAACTTTAAAAATCTTTCCAAAAATATATGGATCCCCAATATTATCAGGTGTAAAAAATGATTTCCAATACAAATAGACGATTCATGGGTAGCAAAATCACATGCAGGTCACAAACTAAACTATGTCTTAGCTCAAAATAAAAACACAACTTTACAGCTGGGTGTGGTGGCTGTATAATCCCTGCTCTCAGGAGGCTGAGGCAGGAGAATTGCAAATTCAAGGCCAGTCTGGTCAATTTAGTGAGCTTGTCCCAAAACAAAAACCAAAAACAAAAAGGAAGAAGAAAAAAAATTGTAAAATAATTATAATATTTCAAAACATCACAGAAAGTTAATTCGGGTTACCATCAGTAAGTAGTTTCTGCTGCTAAAATTGATAGTGAAAAATCACCAAGTAGGGGCGGTCCTGAGGACCAGCTTTTACTGAGCTCCACAGGTCTGGGAACCACAGCACGGATCCCAAGCCCGGAGGAGGGGTCTTTGTACTTCCGAGCCAGAGGAAGAGTCGCACAAGGTGTGCGCAGGCGTCCGGGAGGAGCTGGGGGATGGTGCTCTGTCCTCCAGGTCTCCTCTAAGCAGGGGCAGCCTCCGCCCTGCCAGCCACAGTGGCCCAGGAGAGCGGTGGGAAGGAAGCCCTCCTGCAGGTTTATTTTCGTAGGAGAATGAGATGCGAAGGGACAAAAGTAACAGTTCTCCAAATTCTGAAAGTCAACTCACCAAAATTAACATTCTCAAGAAGGCTCGAAGACTTTTTTTTTTTTTTTTTTTTTTTT